TTCAAAAGATCTTAGAGTCAGCATTTACCAAGATCCCTGCCAGATATTAGTTTTGTTGCACATTATGGGTGAATACTGGCATATTACAGTTTTGTCAGGCAACTGGCCACACACTTATGTTATTGCAGCATACTTCTGTCACAAGAGTTGCTGTTCCAATGAGCAACTCTGTGGCTCAGCATTCATTTCTATCCAGAGAAAAACAGGTTTAACATCTGGCATGTTACCATTTGTGGTACAATACTTGCATGCCACATGCAACAAATTTAATACCTGTCTGGGACCTATGCCATCAAGTCAGTTAACCCATTTCTGTCTTCCACTAAAAATGCTAAGGAAATGCAAATATGGAAGATTTGTTTCTCACAAGACACACCAATGCTTACAGAAAGTCCAATTTTGTGACAGAGAGAGAGAGAAAAAAAATAGAAGACTCAGCCCTTCACAAGGTATGGCTTTGAGGCATTTTTCACCCCATCCAATTCATGGAAACATTACAGGTTTGCCAAATCATTTCTTACATTATGTTGTGTAGGAGTTTATCATTATCACTAGTCAGCCACTGCTTCAACAAGTTTTTCAAGAACAAAACAAACACCACCATACACAATACAGTTGACTACTGAATGTCAATAGCAGTACAAACAAACCAACAAAGCAAACCCTGGGAGGGAAAGGGCTGATATTCTACTGGAGCATGCAGTTGGGTCCAGTAAAAGATAAACACCGCTCCCCAATATCCTTGCCTCCCACATTTCCTGGATCATCATGGCTATAACATCACTCCAAGAACAACTAATATTAATAAAACTCCAGCAGCAAACAATCCTGACCACCATCTTACCCTCAAACAAGTTGTAAGTGATGACTTGGCAGGCCTTGCAGATCATAACATTTGTCAACTCTGCTATGGAACGCTCTCTCTCCAAAAGAGGAGTCTACACAAGGGTTGGTTACATAAGCTCTGAACTGAGGTCACTGTAAGTCACTGATGGAGGCAGAAAAGGGATTTCAAAACATCATATGCACATGCACACAGGAGGTAGTGACCTGAATAAGACTGTTTAATAAGGGCATGACATAAGTATTACTCTCCTAACCTAACTAGGAGGCTACATTAGCCATTACCTGAACTTCTACCTTCCATGTTACCACAGAGAAACTAAAAGTGCTAATTTATGAATAACTGCCTCTTTTTAACAGAGTTATGTTATGCATTTATTTGAAAATAAAATTAAAAAACAAAACAGCAGGGGTGTGTGCATGCACACAGGATGGAGTCAAATTTATTATATGTAGCAGTGTATTAAATTGCAGGAAAGCTAGACAATTTTTGCATAAATAGCCATGGAATTCGCTATCTCCTGGATGTGCTCCAACAGCCCCGCCGCTCAGCTGAAGTTGGTGGAGAGGCCCTGGAAGGCAGGAGGAGGGATGAGGTGGTGGCAACCATGTCTGCTAGCTGACCCTACTGCTCGTTGCGCTCCCCTGCCAGCCAGTGCTTCCTCCCCACAGAATGGGCAGGCTGCAAGTCTGGGCTGCAGCACAACGAGGACTGCTGGCTCCCACTGGGGCACCAGCATTTTATTTTTATTAAGTTGATTTAAATTGATTTTATGGATAATCCCAGACTTTGCAGTTTCTGTGGAATCATGAAGTGAGTAAACCCTAATTATATGTTAGTCAACATCCTAGATGAACAGAAATCAGTTTGTACAACCAAGGAAAACCGAAGCTTACTTGAAAAAGGGAAAGGTTCTGCTCTGCAACCAGCCCATTATTCTACAGTCCACAAGCTCTCTTTTTTCCATTTTGAAGACCACTCTATTACTCACTTTACATACCAAGATACTCACAAGGCTCTCTCAACTTTAAACCCAGTACAGTCAGTCCTCAGACTTGCAACATAACTGGTTCCTGAAAACTGTCTTAAGACAAAATACTGCAACTTGGAACAGTTTTCCCCATAGGAAACAATGCTATAAACAGGGACTGATTCCTGAACCAAGGCCTGATACCCTATTTTCACCAAAAACAACCCAGAATTTTGTACTCAATTATCAATGAAAAATATAGCTACATTAATGCATTTATATTGTAAATAGCAATTATATTGATTTGGAATGACTTCTTTGAGGTGACTTTGCTGGACTTTTTGAAGGGCTCTTGGTTGGACTTTGAAGCAAAAGTAAAGCGTAGGTGGGAAACAAAAGTAACTTACTCCCTCTCCCTCCCCCCAGCTTCTCAGTCTTGTGTGTTCCCTTAACTCTAGGAAATATACATTTTTCCCCCCCAGAAGTTGCAACTCTTACAGTGAGGATCTCATTTAAGTTCAAAGGAATTACACTGGTGCAACCAGGAAACCTATGGGTTTACGCAAGTGTTAATGAGGACATCCAAAGGCAATGGGATTGTGTAGGTGTAGCTGACAATGCAAAGTCATTATTAATACTGATTAAATGCAATCAATATGAAGCTTTACTGCATTCTCTAGACTGGGAGTTAGGACACACACATCCCTACTTGTAAACCGAGTGAGTATATTTGATCCATGACTCACAGAATTATGTTAATGGCAGTATTTTTACATGGACACTTTTCAGAGTAAGACAGAACTTTAGACCAGTATTTCTATTCCCTGTTGCACTAAGATAAGAGTTCCACAAGAAAGCGTTTTACTTGGCAAGAAACACTTCAGTGCTAGATTACTGACTGCAAGTCCCAGACACCCAAATAGACCCCACTCATCCTGAACACAGAAACAAAGCATTGAATTGTCCAGAATGATTTCTACTTGCCACCCTCAAATGTACCTTTCTGGGTTAGGAGCATGCACAGTAGGATTAGGCAAGAAAGGCTTCCCCTTCCAGGGAACACTACCAACATGCGACATTTTTATTTTAATATAAAAAAATAAATAAATAAATAAAAAACCTAAAAAAAAAAAACCAGCAGATAGCCAGAACTAACCTGTATGCTTGTCACCACACTGCACAATTTGCAGGCACATGACAACCAATTTGCTTCATCATGAAATTAATTGAGATTTGGAATATCTGAAGAGAGCTAGTCAAATCTTTATATAAAAATCTGACTAGTGTACAGAGCCTTTAAAATAGGGAGAAAATGATTTTTTTGCTTTTTTTTTTTAAGCTACCACCTTCATTTTCCACACCAAACTACCCTCCCAAAATAAAGTTAAATAAAATAAATAATTAAATTTAAAAAAAAAGGCTCTGAACTTTCTAGACTAGACAGTCAAAAAAGGAGCTGTTCTTCCAAATATTGGTTCACCTAAAGCAAAGTTTATTCCTCTAAGAAAAAAATCCCCTTTAAAGAGGCTGCTCAGCTAAAAAAATTATGAGATTTGTTCATTTATTATGGGTATGGGACCAGGAAAACCATTAGAAATAAGGACATGATATTTGAGCATAAAGGAGTGTGCCTCGAGAAGGGTATATATTCCAAACATACATTTGCAGGAGAACCTTCTCCACAATCCCAGCACTCAACAGCAACTGTTGTAAATCTTTCCATGGAACTCGAAAGTTTCTCCTCCTACACATTTACCACTGCCTTACCCATCTGTAAGGATTTCTCATACTGCATCACATACACAAATACTACATGCAAAATGACTTCAACCAGTCAGCACCTAGACAGAAAAAGTATCAACATTTATCCTTCAATTTTAAGGAAGTTAAGCCAGTCACCTGACAGATTAATATTAAAGCAGTTACTGTATCTGTTTTTCTGGGTACTGCCTGCCATCTAGCATTGGTTAGTGGCACTTACACTTAATTAACGTGGCTATTCAAAAGAATCCTTATTCTTCCACAGGAAGACGTAGTTAAAATCTGTTATCAAGCATCTAACTATAAACCATGTTTGTTGTTGCTTCTATTGCAGGTTCCCGGAACAATATTAAGTTTCTTAGCAAGACACATGCACAAACCTTCAGCTAATTGGTCCCCTAGGTAGTTTCAGATGAGCTGTGCCTATTAGGAGTTCTTGATGTACTGTATGGGTAGTAGCTTGTTACCAAAATACAGACCATTAGCAGTCACCCTACAGGTACAACATCAAATCAGAAGCTTAACATCACTCAAGTCACAAAATACTTTGATTAGCCTTAGGCTTATCCCTTATCCACCTGACTACAGCCATTATGCAGGAACACATCCTTGCTTGCAAGGTCAAATTCATCCAGCATGATTTCATCATAAGAGATTCCCTAATTCTTGACTTACTTTACTTAAGTACTGCATCTGAATTGGTAGGCAGCTACTTCATATTGGGACTTCTTAGCAGCATATAGAAGGAATAAAGATGCTGCTCTAACACAGTGAGCTCACATCAGAAGCCAAACACTATGTACAATATATAGTATTTATCTGTTCCCCTGTGATGGCATTCCTCACAGGAATG